TCTTGTCAAGACATTAAGGGCTTTCAGCAAGTCACAAAGATCCATACAGGAGACGCACAAGCCTAAACCTTGCCTGCTTTCTTAGTGTAAAGGCCACAGTGTGAAAGAACTCAAAATATTAGCATTGAAAGATAGCGCTTCACCCACCCCTATAGTGCAGGAGGGAGATTCCGGTGATTCTCACATGGAAATGGATGTTGTGGAAAGGGTGTGAGGACGAAAGAGTTTGCACACTATCCTCTGTGTTTCCTGTTTTTTTTTTTTCCTCTCTCCCTTCCTTCCAATTTTATCAAACCCTTTCCATGGTATCCAAGAGTGACCTACAAAATTCATAAACTTAAAAACCAAACCTAGCAAACCTAAAGGGTCTGTGCATCACCATCCTGATGCTTTAACTTTACAACAGGTGATAAACAACTACTAAAACTAGAGGCACATTGCTTGGAGACAGTTTTTAAACTTGCAAACTGACCTCTTGTCTGTTCTCTAGAGAAACCTCCCTCCCTCCTCCTTCCAAACAAAACTTTATTTGACAACAGATATTACATAAACACATGGAGCAATAGATGGCATTACAAACCCTGTAAAACAAGTTACATAATATTACAGATGATGCTGAAACTTTTAAACGCAAGACCCTGAACTTAAACAGCAGCCCAAATCTCCTAGGTTTATAAATTATTATAAAAGGAAAGCATTTGCCTGTAAATGCACCAAAAAAAATCTATAGCCATGTGTTCATACGGTGTAGTTGTTTTCATTTGTTCAATCGCCTGAGGTTGCAGAGATGGATGAAAAGGTCTGTTATTATTCATATTTTGTGTACGCTGTATTTGAAATAAACTTCCTGAAGAGTTTGAGAGAGAAAAAAAACTATCCTTTGACAAACTTGCATCGGCTGTAGTCGGTGCTAACATGTGCTTGTCTCGCGACCTGCACGCGCTGCACATAAATCTGTACATTTTAATAATTTCACACTCATAACGTGTCAACCAGGTTAATATTTCCCGGAAAATCCCATTAAAAAGCGAAAACTCTATGCAGATATTGGCGGGTACTTCACGTGGATTTAAAGCCCTTCTGGGAGGCGGCAGTGGCAAACGCTGAACGTCGATTGTTAGCTAGCTAAGCTAACGTGCTAGGTTAACAGCTATCAGATGTTCCAGCTGCCTTTGTGACACGGGCACAAAATGGAGCACTTTATAATAGAAATGTCATTCTAGAGGAAAATCAGGTAAACATATTTATAAACCAGGTTGTCTTTCGATTGTCCAGCTGTGGGTGCGCTAAAAATGTTAGCTTAAGCTAAACCTCTTGTCGCTAACCGGCTAAACAAGAGAAAACCCGAATGAATGCTACTATTACTTATGAGTTTAGTGATCTTTACTAATCTAAAACGCCAAACAATCTCAGATATATATATATAAACACACCGTATAAACGGTGTAGTAAATCATCCAATGCATTTAGAGGGCAACAACAACGTTATCTATCTGCTGTGAAGTTACATTTTCACCAAACAAGAGAAAATGCTTTAATATATAAAATCTGAAGTGCGTGTCAAATCTGTATGAGCAAACAAGCAAAGCAGCGGAAAAGCAAAAAGACAGTTGCTCAAGCTTTTCTATATTAGGTTTGTTATATGCAGCTACAAAACTCTACTAAACACTGTATTTAGTGTACGTCCTATTTCTTGGGTTAAAATAGTTTAACTGTTACCTACAATAACAACAGTTGCGAAATACTGCATGCGAGTGATTTCTATTATTATAAGTGAAACACTACAGTTTAAAATACCATGCAAACCTGCTTCAACAGACCAGATATGTACTCTGAAGTGAACAGAAGCACATCTTAAGTAGCGGTACATATACTAAATATTATAACAGTTATACACGAGAAAAGGCCATGCAGTCAGCTTCATATGTCCAACAACTGCATGACGTTGTGTATTGGAGCTGATCACATGGCCCTTTACTCCTACAATTTCAGCTTTGCATGGTCAAGTTTGCGTTTCTGCAAAACACTGCGTTTAAACAAGATGTTGTATTAGACAAATGCATGTATTTACCCTGGAAACTGATGGAAAGACGAACAAAAAAAGCTCCTGTGTATAGGAGGTCAGTTAGTTCCCCCAGATATCCTATCCAGAGTCCAGTTACGGTCACCGGTCTCTCCTCTTCTCCTCTCCGGTTTGCCCGAAAGAAAGATGAAACGATCCTCTGAAAACGAGTTGAAGTTTTACAAGCACAAACCAAACATTTTCATCTGATGAAATAAAGTAGGAGCGTTACGCGCACCCTTCCAGTCCATGAACCAGGGAGAGCTTTTGTCAATTATTTATCTTCTGAAAAAACTCAAATCCCCCTGTAATGATATGTGACCGATCTGAATAACGCTAGGGATACGGCACACGACTCCGATGCTTCTCCGTTAAAGCGCGATCGCCTTTATCCAACCGATTCCTGTACGACTCCCTGTCAACCGATGATGGCGTCACCGTGTCGTCTAGGAACGTCATCGTGTCGCTTAATTAAGACGTAATTACGTTGCCAATGCCTGTGGAGTGCGGACTGTTAAGGGCCGAAAAACATTTTAGTTTACAATGGTTTCATTTTAAAACACGGTTTTTGGCAAAACCTTCTGGTAAAAAATTTTTTATATTAAGATGTTCCCTTACTTATTCAAAAGTTACTGTAGTTCTTCTCTCTTACAGTGCACAGACAAACAAGACATGTGTTTTTAACCTTTACTTCGTTTTTTTTAACGTCATTATTGTTTCTTTGTCACTAACACTTCTTTATTGTTTTTAAAAAGTTGTTATTATTCATCTTTTTTTTTGTTTTATTAAAAAAATTATTAGCCTATTGATTTATGTTGTGTTGTATATTTTTCGAAAGATAATCTGTCAGATAAAATAGGCTACTTTACATAGGCCTAGCTCAAAAGTAAAAATAAATAAATAAATAATACCCTAATAGTGCAAAAGGAATGCACAGATAAGCTGCCAAACCAGTACAATCTGAAAGCACAACAAATAAACTGTTTTAGATCTATAATAACTAACAAAGCAATCTGTATGTAATCATTAAAACACGAATACAGGTCAACACATGCAAAACCTTACTGTATCTGCACGCATGACCCTGATCAACAGGGGTTTAAATCCAAACAGATCAGACAAGACTGGAAAAGGAACAATCTAATGAGTTCCATCTGGTGTTGTTTTCCACCGCTGTTACACTGAAAGTGCAGTGGTTCTGCTGGACCGCATGACAGCAGGACTGCTCTTGCCTAAAAGGTAAAAGGTTTCACTCAAAGGTAAATAATGTTCTTTCATAATCCCATAGTATCCCAGACCTTTGGCATTAGAGAATGCACTCAGATGTAGAACAAATACAAAGTTCACTTTATTGAATAAGTGCAGCATGAAATATAACCATGTCTAGATAAGATTATGGTTTATTTAGGTAAATAAGGTGTTAAGTGTATTCCTTCCTATATAGTCTACTGAAATTACCTATTTATTTACTGTCTTATTTAGATGCAGTATTATGGTACATCAATAAAAATCTATTTTAAATAACTGCTGTTCTTTTGAACTTTCTATTGATCAAAAATCATGGGGAGAAATTATCGTGGTTTGGACAAAAATATTAAGCAGCACAACTGTTTTAAACTGTGATAAAAATAAGAAATGTTACTTAAGCACCAAATCATCATATTAAAATGATTTCTGAAGGATCATGTGACACTACTGACTGCTGGAAATTCAGCTTTTAGATTACAGAAATAAATTACATTTTAAAATATATTGATATAGAAAACAGTTATTTTAAATTGTAATATTTCACAGTATTACTGGTTTTATTTAATTTTTGATCAAATAAAAGCAGCCGTGGTGAGCATAAGAGAATTCTCTCAAAAATATTACAGACGGTATGTGCATGTAATGAGAACAACACACATGAACAAGCAAGACCAACGATAACAGAAGTTCCTTTTTAATATATATATATATATATATATATTTTTTTTTAAACATATAGGAAATGTGTTGGTGTTTTCTCAAGAACTAGTGATTTATATAGCAATATTCAAATTGTAAACATACACTTGCAATACTGCATAATGTAAAAAAAAAATACATCAAATGTAATAAAATTTACAAAGGTTAAAAGAATAAAATCTTTATAATTTAAATGGAATGATGAAATGCATCTGAATATTTGAAGTTCTGTCGCAAAATCATTACGATACAAACAAAACAAAATTGTTTATAATTTTGCTGTACTCCATCAAAAAGTGGAGAAAAAAAATCAATATCAAAAGTACACAGAGGATCATGCAGCTTCCAGTAGAACTGTTGTATCCCGTTCAGTGCAACAGACAGAAAAAAAACATTTGTGTTTATTTCTTTTTTTAGTGCTGTCAAATCGATTAATCGCGATTAATCATATCGAACATGAAAGTTTGTAAATATATAATATATATATGTGTGTGTGTGTGTGTACACACACACACACACACACACACACACACACGAAGAGTTCATATGAAGTGCCATCTGAAATTTTCTTCTAGAATGATCATTTTTATCAAGCTTGTATATTTAAGTTCAGTAATTTCACTTAAATGACAATGAAAAATACCTATTAATTGTCATGTAAGTGAAATTATTGAACTTAAATATACTAGCTTGATAAAAATTATCGTTCTAGAAGAAAATTTCAGATGGCACTTTTTGCATCTGAACTCTTCAAATGTATAATATACACGCAAACTTAGATACGATTAATCGCAATTAATCGTTTTGACAGTACTAGATTTTTCTCATCCAAACACCAATGTTCTTCCCACAGCAATCTTTATTATTTTACGAATATGTTTTAACATAAGTTATAGCATTATGAAACATAATCTTAAAGCATTTCCCTTATAAGGAACCAACTGTACCTAAGTATACCTCAACATGTAAAGACACTGTGCAACATTGGATATGAGGACGCTGCTGAAAACAGCATCAGGTCCAAAGCAGGTAGCCTACCTGTAAAACAAGTGAGGGAAAAAATGGATTAATACAAATGTGTACCAAACTACACTGACTATGTTGCTGTAGACATTTGTGGACAAATCTATAGACTTTTGTGCATTTGTGTATTGAACAGAGTCTTCAACAATGCTGTATTATTACATTTAAAGTCGGCATGAAACGGAAGTTGCGATTGTCTTTTCTTCCTTATTTTGAGATATTTCAGAGTGAAACAGATTCTCAAACGCGAAAAAAAAAATTAGGGTGGGCCTTGATTTTGTCCATAGAGAGTTGATTGGATCGTTGTGGTTTGTATTCCTGTGATGTCATGTGATTGACTGGCTGTCCCGCCCTCACGCCAGTGAACAACACGTCATCCGAGAAGGGAAGTGATGTCACTGCAAGAGAGTCTTTTTGAAAGATTATAAGGGCATGAATAAAAAAAATAAAAAAAAATAGTGTGCCCAGATAAATCATTTATAATAATAAATACTGCAATATTCCATAAAAGATCTCATGGTAACTTTAAGAATTTCGGTTTCAAGATCAGATCAGTTTTCTTTTGAACTCAATTCAGCGTAAACAGCTGTGCCCTTACTCCTGTGCTGAGGTGAACTCAGATATTATCCGTTTATGTTTATACAAACATTAATATGTCATTCTTGACATCACCTAGCCTTTGTGTAGCTTGCTCCCCCATAGCGCTTGATCCCAATCCGATCCTGGGAAAAACACAGTCTGCATGACGTAAGCTTACATTCCTGGCTTGTGGACTCTGACCCTCTGGTGTTCCCAGGGAGAGCGAGACAGAGAGTACGCAAGAGGGGGAAAAGAGGCCCTCCTCATCTCTGGCCCGGTCTGAGCCGTGCTTCCACGCATGCCTGCTGTAATGACTACCAGATGTCCATGCTGGCAGCACCGACCCGGGGGTCAGAAGTCAGCAGTCACAGCTATTCTGTTCCTCGTACGCAGCCTCATCAAAACAAACTTGACAGAATGACATAGTCTGTGTTTGTGTCTGCATTAAGCAAGTGAATGTCGCCGGGTGTTTGTGTAAGTGCCGTTCGCACCCCTGTGCTGATTACATGGAGGTCAACAGACAATGCTGCTGTTTATTATTCTGTTAGACTGCCACTTCAAAACTATTTGACAATCTAGTCACTTGACAAGAGTCAATGTATCACTAAAAGTGTATTCATGTCTTGACTTTTCAGTGTTTTTAGAAAAAACAACACTGTAAAAAAACTTGCTACCTTAAACTTTTAAGTACAATCAACTTGGCTGTGTATGTCGTTTACTTGAATTACATTAAACTGACTTTAAAAATGAGTCGACTCTTATATAACTTAAAAAATAAAGTTTAAAATGGCGTCACTTATTTTGATGAGTTGAAGAAACTAAAATATGTTGTCATGACATTGATCATGTCATTTTTTAAAATTTTTTTTACAGTGAATGGGTGTTCATTTCACTTCAAAAAGTATAGGGATTCACAAACTTGATGCCACAATATGTAGAGGCCTACTGTTATTAGGTTTTAATTAATTAATTATTTAAATAATTTAATTGTGAATTATGTCAAATAAATGCTGTTCTTTTTAACTTTATATTCATCAAAGAATCCTGAAAAAAAAGTGTCATGGTTTCCACAAAAAAAAATATTAAGCAGCTGTTTTCAACATTGATAATAATAAATGTTTTTGACCATTACATCATATTAGAATGATTTCTGAAGGATCATGTGACACTGAAGACTGGGGTAATGGCTGATGATAATAATAATTATTATATTCACATTTATTGAGTTTCCAAAACAGTGTTAATGTGAACTGAAAAACGTTTTGGTTACACTTTATTTCGATGGTCCACTTTAGACATTTTGCTAAATATAAGTAACTTAACAATGTCAACTGACTCTCATTAAAGTATTAGTAGACTGTTATATATAGACTGGTAGGTTAGGTGTTAGGGTTCGGATTAGTAGAATAAGTTGACGTACTTGCAAAGTTACTTATAGTCAGTAGAATGTCTGTTAGGGGAGCATCACAATAAAGAGTTAGCAGATATTAAGCAGACCGTCTACTAACACTAGAGTAGTTAACATGTAGTTGCAAAGTTAGTAAAATCTTTAAAGTGGAATATCAAAATAAAGTGCTACCGTGTATATATATATATATATATATTTATCTGTTTACTTTTTGGTGACTGAAAGAAATCACTTAACACTTTACGGTTATGGTTATTTTTCCTATGTTTTGTCTCTTGATTTTTTTATTTGTATTATGATTTATATAAAGTATGTATTTTATTTATTTTTCTGTACAGCACTTTGGTCCACTTCGGTTGTTTTAAAGTGCTTTATAAATAAAGTTTGATTGATTGATTTACAATAAGGTTGTATTTGTTAACATTAGTCTACATTAGTTACAATGAACAATACTTTGACAGAATTGATTAATCTTAGTTAATGTTAATCTCAACATTTACTAATACATTTATAAGATCCAAAGTCCAATCTGTTAACATTAGTTAATGCACTGTGAACTAACATGAAAATAAACATTTTTATTAACGAACGTAAACTAATATTAACATTAGCATTAGGTTAAAGGTAAGAAATGCTGTAAGTAAGAAGATGTTGCTCATTGTTAGTTCATGCTACGGTAGTTAATGCATTAACTATGTTAACAAATGAGACCTTATTGTAAAGTCTGAAAGAGTTACTATTATTTCTTGTGGCATCAGAACATGATCAAAATGATTCATTTGTATGTGTATGTCTTTTTGATTTCTTTGGGGATCTACGCAGCAACCTAAGAAGTTTATCATTCAAACTGCAAATGTTATGACAAAATAATCGAAATATGCCATTTTCACCTAATTTTGCAGTCGTAATAAACAGTAAAACGTTTGCATAGGGAATGCTGTTGTGTACAGTAGCTCTTGACTAGACTCTGAGGGGCATTCCACTGGAAAGTAAAGTAAGAGGTAACCTTATGTCATTTCACAGTTCCAGGAAATGATACCTTACACATTACATTACAGGGTGTGACACACGCAAACACATTTCTTCATGCTTTGTCTTGCACCACTGCTCTGTGTTTCACACTTAAAAATGGGCACACTTCTGTGGACCCCTATTATTTTTCAAATGTCTTTTTGGAAAAAACACTCTCCACGACGCCCAAGAGAAAAAGCAAAGTTTCATGTTACTGATGAACCCAGTGGCTGCTCTGTGTATTTTGCATATACAGTACTTTTTAAAAAACGTTATTACAACCATTTATGTGACTCTTCTTCATTACTTGGAAATTATCTGAATTCAGGATGAAATGCAGTGAAATATGATGTGTGAATGTAAATAATCAAGTAATGCACAACATCTGTCACAGATCTGTCCTGAAAATTAAATATTTGCATGCTAGTACAATGGCTTTCCTGTTACTGACCGCTAGACAGCTGTCCAAGCCAATACTGTACTGTGAATATGCTCTGACTTTGTTCTAAAAAAAATGTGTAGCTTTCCCAGGTTTGGACTACATCTTGCATAAAGGAGGGAATAATAAGTCTAGTGTACTCACTGAAAAGCTATTCATTATATTTGGCCAGTGTCCACTTTCTTGCCTCCATCTGCAAGCAAGCAATGAAAAAACACAGATTCTTTATGTTAAAAGCATTCAACAAAATATGTTCCACTTCTTATTTTTCTTATCATATAAATAGATCATGCTTTTACATAACTACAGCACTTCACACACTATAACAGCATTGTGCACAGTGCAAACAACGTCAAACCAATAAATACGGTATATTTGTATGTAGGATGTTTTGAACATTAATATTGAAGTTCGGGTGGGGAAAAAATGGGTTGTTTTAATGTGAGTAAGTTTAAGAAAACTGCCTAAAGAGCAACTTTCATGCAGCTGAGGAAGTTTCTTTGAGCATTTGAATGTTTTTAATACAATTGCTCCCCCTGCTGGTCAAAGCACAAACTTACTGAATTCACTAAAACTGAAGCATGTTGAAATTCAACTTCAAATTAATGTAATACACTCAGTGTAATAATGCTGGGGGGGGGGGGGGGGGGGGGTTTATAGCAAAAACAACTTTGAGATGATACATATGTAAAAACAAAACACCATTTTATCAAGATGTTGATAAATCTCATCGAGTGTCAGTAAAAGGGTTCATTTTGAAACCAGCATGCATGTTATTTAGATTAGAACACCACTTGTTCTTTCTCTCCAGCACTTGTGGTTGGATTATTCACTATAAATGTGCAATATCTCGCCAAGGCCCAGATATGGACCGTGACTCAGAGTCAGAGGACGTTACTAAAATAAGTTTTAGTGGTCACCTTTTGATATCCAGTTTTCTAGATCTTCCATTTCCAGCTCCATCACTGATGGGATATCATCCTCAAACATCGGCCTGAGGATCAAGAAAAGAACAACACAAGCGTTTGCGGGCTGTTTATTATGTGGAGGAAGTTGATTTTGCCTGCTGTGGCAGATTTGTATCTTTAAAGAGGAACCAACTAACCATGAACAGCTTTTGTGGAACATCATTTTGTAACATTATGAATTTATGCGAACAGGCTGACTTGCCAAAGAACAACAGTCATTAAATAGGTGTATTAGTGTGAATATTGTGTATATTATACAGGGATTCTGTTGATGTTCACTGTGAATGTTGAAACACGAGTCATGACAAATATGCATTTCAGATGAATACTAAATAATGAGATTACTAAATTAATTACTAAATAAACACACAGGGAAATATGACTAGAGAGAACAATTGAATTATTATTTATTTGAAGCTATCAAAATGTAATTGCTAAATTGTTGAAAATAAATAACGAGTACATGGCCTTAAATTAATATGTATCCGAAAACTAGAATTGCAATCATGTAATGCTTAAAATCTATTTTAATTTTGAAAGATTTTTGTTTTAGAATACTTTTTTTATGGTTCTGATAACACCCAGTTTTGCACCTCTGGTTAGCAACAGATTCACTTGGATCATAAAAGCAGTCTATGTGGGGTGAGAAAGCTCTCGGATTTTGTCAAAAATATCTTCATTTGTTTTAGAAGATGAATGAAGATCTTACGGGTTTGGAACGACATGAGGGTGAGTGAATAAAGACAGAAATATTATTTTTGGATGAACTGTAAAGCATACTTACATTGGCACCTTTTCATGGTCTTCATGATCCAAATAAGGATCTTCTTTTGTGTCTACATTTAAAAAAAAGATGACAAAGATGTTAAAAGATGTAAAAACATTACACTGTCATTAATTTATAAATTAATTTATAAGACTTCGATTATAAGACAGTTCCAATTGCCTTCAAAGGAACTGATAGGAAACTGTCAAAATGTAAGGAGAAAGGGAAGAAAGACTTTTTTAGTCTTAAAGGGATGGATGGCAAAAACTATGTTGCAAAAATGTAATTCAATTTGAAATTATTAAGTGTTCACATTTTTTATTTGTGAAATGAATCCGCAGTTTACAAAATGGGTTTAAACTACTGCGTCCATTTTAGCACCCGTTATCATATTTACTATCCAGTTTCATCTACCAATGGATGATTCCAAGGAAGAGTAAATATTTGTGTCTTTCAGATAGCCTAAATATGCAAACACATGTAAACACCCACTAACTGATGCATTTAACTGGTTATTTGTATGAGTCTGTTTGAATGCATCCTGACATACCAGCATCTCGTATTCTCCCCCTGCGGTAGATCATGACTACACACACGATCACAGCGATGATGACGAGTGTGAGAACCAGAGGTATGATGATCATGATGACCGAGTTGAGATCATCTGTGTCCGTATCTGACTTAGTAGTCGTCTCTATTTCCTCATTATTAACAGGGTCACTGTTTGGTGTGGAGCCTAAATCCAAGGCAATTGCATACGTTTTAAGTAAAAGATGATTTCCTGAACCTGAAAGTCACAGTATAGGCTATAAGGTGATCAGATAAAGTTTGAAATGCTTATTTCAGCTTGAGGTCAAGCATGTGAAAAGTGCAATGCGTACCCTGGTTCTCCCCATCTCCAGATCCTTCCACGTCAGATTTTTCTATAAAGAAATAAAGTAATCATGAAAATACAACTAAACAAACATCTAAACTTAAAACAGTGTATACATTTTATCTCTGTAAATGAAAATGACTTATATGGTTTATACAATAGGCCTAATTTCTGTAAAAACGGCATTGATACAGTTGAAGTACAATAAACAGCTTTTACTGCCACTACTTTACTTTGAAATTACAGCGCAGCCGTAAAATGAAAAGACATGGTTGAATCAGTATATCACTGTAAAATTAAGTGTACAATTTTTAAGTTAATTTAGAGGTTTTCAAAACGCAAAGGGTTCACAAAATTTGAGAAAAGAAAAAGATTTTACGAAATGGCTGATTTAAACAAATTTTTAGGGCTGTCAGAGTTTACATAAAAAATGCTTTAGGATGATATTTATTGTGAAAAGATCATTACAAATAAATCTGAACTGCAACTGTTTCTTTTCGGTTTTATACTGTATCTAACATTACTATAATGGGTAGAAAATACTATATGCTTAATATTTTCTATATAATATTTTAATAATTGGCTTTAGTAGAGTGAAATTAAAAGGCTATTATTTAATATTATAACATACTGTATATTAATGTTCAAAAGTTTGGGGGATATTTTTGTAAAAAAAAAAAAAAAAATCTTTTGTGTTCACCAAGGCTGCATTTATTTGATCAAAAGCACTGTAAAAACAGTAATATTGTGAAATATTATTACAATTTTAAATAACCATTTTTTTCAATTTTAATATATTTTAAAATGTAATTTATTCCTGTGATGCAAAGTTAAATTTTCAGCATCATTACTCCAGTCTTCAGAGTCACATGATCCTTCAGAAATCATTTTATGTTGATTTGCTGCTCAAGAAACGTTTCCAATTGTTATACATGTTGAAAACAGTTGCGCTGCTTAATTTGTTTTGTGGAAACACATTTTTTTCCCACACAAGTTTAAAATAAGAGCATTTATTTAAAAAAAACTAAATATTTTGTAACACGTCTTTGCCATCAATTTAATGCATCCTTGCTGAATACAATTATTCATCTCTTTAAAAAAAAAAAAAAAAAAATCTTACTGCCACCAAACTTTTGACCAGTAGTGTATACATTATAAATGTTTTTTTTGAACATAAAAATATAATACCTTTAATATCATATCTACTGATGCGTCAAATGTAATTACCACCAATTCTTACCTGGGTTTTCTTCACCTTCTGAAGTTTCGGTTGTTGCTACTACAACTGTTAAATGTATAAACAGATCAGATTCATTTATGAGAGGATGTGAGTGCTCATCCCCTACAACACTTTTTCTTTAGATGGATAAACCCATTCTAGACAACCGTGGCAGGCATCAGTTACATGACAGTGACCACAAGAAAGTACAGTAGATGTCTACAAATGAGCTTGGAACGTGACTCATTCAGTCTGCAACATATCGCATTAAAATAAAAATACAAATGTAGGTGTTCTAAAGCAGATACTCACATTCATCTTCTTGGACAATATCTGCCCCCGTCTCATCTTTGTCGTCTTCACACTGAACTGTAATGACATGAAACTAAATTACTTTACACATTTAAGAACTGACTAGAACCTTCATTTTTACACTGAGGATTAGTTCAGACCTGTTGCAGTTCAGAAGAAAGACTTTATCTGAGCATCATTCTCTGAATTTACCTGAGAGAGATTAGAAACATTCCTTGTCCTTCCTCATGAAATTCATCCATTTCTTTTCTATTAAAAAGGTTTTAAACAGCCTTTAAGTTTCTGCTAATAGCCATGTAAACTTTTAATGGGTGGGTACAGGAACATTTAAATACATATATTGCATATAATGTTAATTTAAAACACATAAAACATTTGTATATACGGGTACATTGTTAATTCATGTTTGTTCATTATACATTAACTTATGTATAATGAAAGAACATGGATTGGCATTATATATATATAATTATATAAAAATATATATTTATTTTAATGTATAATTATATGTTGTGTATATATATGTATATATATATACACATATATATGTATACATATGTGTATAGATGTGAAATGTTTAAAATATGTTAGCAAATTAGCCTACAGTGTAGAGACTTAAGCTATTGGATTGAATAAAGTTAACCCATAGCGTCACTGTAAAGTTATCAACTTCATCTTAATTACAACATAATCTTAATATCAAAATTCCTATTTAGCTACAAGAGAACTTTGAGGTAAAAAGGAAGAAACTAATAATCAGTTGCAAGGAAATGAATACCATAAAACCACAAGAAAGATACATTTGACCTGAATCAACTATCTTTGTTCGTCAACAGAGACGAGCTGTTTTTTGTTTTGCATGAAACCAAGAGCAACAAAATAAGTCAAAGAACTATTTATAAGGTACTGTAACCATCCTGTCCTCAACTTTATCATTGTCCATTGTGGTCGAAAGATACGACAGGTCATTTGAATGCACTCTTAATGTCCACATGACTCCACAAGTGTTGTGTTGCCTATAGGGGCCAATTACAGTGTAAAATGATTTCTGAGGACCCTGACGAAGAGAGGAGACAGGACAGCGGAGAGTTACTAGATGAATGAATCTAAAATGGAAAAATGGAAAGAGAGAGAGATAGGATTCTACAGAAAGAAGAAAAATGATCTACTACCGTGAGTACCTACCAAGTCCAGTCCGGCAAGCTGTCAATGCCAAAAGCAGGAATAGTATCAGATTCATTTCCCAGAGTCCTCGGTGAAAGCACTGGCCCACACTATGGATAGACAGAGACACAGACTCATTGCATAGTGACTGGTGTCTAACACGCCTTCATGACATCCTGCTTCCTCTTTCAGACCTGATTCACCTAGCTACAAAAAAAAAAAAAAAACACCACCCTCTCGTTCTCTCCCTCGGATGTGATGCAATCAAACAGTGAGCTTGTTACCACAAGCCGAGCTGTTCCTCAGTTAGCTGTGAAAACACATTCCTGCATATATGGTATGTGACCTAACCAAAAACCAGGGAAAATAGAGAAGTGCCAAAAGAGCTGAGTAAACAGAAGCAGCTTTAAACTCAAAAGACTTTAAACAGTCTGAAGTAGGAAGAGATTGTAAAGAGTTTGTCTACCCTGCTACAGCTGTCTTTGTCAAAACAGTTATGTATACTTTCTTAGCAATTAAAATGGAATTACAAAAATAACTGTGACTGTGCACAGTATGAATATAGTTTTTTTTTAAATGAGCATTTAGATGTCAAACATGATGTCAGAAATAATTGATTATTATTACAAAATGCTAAGTTATCTAGGCCTACCTTTCTAAACCCTAAACAGGGTGTGGCAGGTGGCGGGGCGGAAGCCCCTTCTGTTGCGAAACTTGCGATACCCATTTCAAGTAAAACAGGTGAAACAAAGGCCTCTGCCACAACATTGTTTTGATTTCATTCAGGGGGATCAAGCCGTCATTTAGTGGGGGGTAGCAGGGTTACAAATACTGCAAAACGAATACACATCATTTACATAAAAACAAATAAAAAAACAGTTTAACATTCAGTTTGACATATTGGCTCAACATTTTCTGTTTCACTGACATCTGCTTATTTTTTTACACACTTATGTATTTGGTGAGGCAAATGTTCTTAGTAACTTTCTGGCCAAGGACTGAGTCATGAATATTAAGCCTCTTCAAAAATGCATAAATATTCAGTAGGCCTATAGGCTAATAATAATAATAATAAAACAATATTGTGCTGCAATTAAATACTTGATGAAGAGGGGCAGTATCATATAAGGGTAGCTCTGGTCAACCTCCTGGAAAACCTTGCAAACATATAGAAGCAAAATATATTGGGACCTTTGACTTTTCCACTGATACTACTCTCAGTCAGTAGCCTACTACCAAAGCCCGTCTACATTCTCTGGTACTACACTCTTAAAATCATAAAACCTGATGTCGTTGGACGTTGGTGCATGAGACAAACATAGTCATGGCAACGCAGTCATTAAATTATTAAGAGAGAACTTATATAGGGTTAACTAAATAGATAATATTTTTTTAGTACTATTCCAAACTAAAGCATATTTTTGCGAATCTACCACCATGTCCCAAGCTCAGAAAGCCAATAGTATCCGCCGCGCATGCGCACTTCTACACTCTAGCAACACGCACGCGCAGTGAGTTCCCCTTCCTTCACATCTCGCGCCAAACTCAAGCTGTGGAAGTGTCAAACATGGTAAGAAAGAACATAAGTTATTGCATTTAATAATTATATTACTTAGAATATTGTTCAGAAAAATTCGCTTATATGAATAAACTGCATGTTTGCAGAACTGTGTTAAACAGGTCGAATAATTCTAGATTGTGTTGAGATCTCTTTGATTTGTGAATAAATTTGTCAAAATGTTTTTATGACACCCAAAATAGTGTTGTTTTTGGGCTGTTGCATCAAGGTTAAGTTTGTTAGATTTAGTCTTTGACGAATGTTAATGCTGTTGAATGAAAGCTTATAACATTATCATTTCACGTATTCTAATTCGAAGCCACTAAAGTTAAACACATAACGTATGATGACCGAGCATTCACATCGCTAGGATGCTATTAACACAAACAATTTGTTTTAATCAAATTTATAATATTACATTTACATTGGCACTCACTACCCAAATAAACACCTGTCTTCAGACCATAAGTCATTATTGAATAACGTTAATCAATATGTTTCTTGAACAGAAGGATGAGGTTAATTAATTAATTGTTACTTGTTCTTTTCTTTTCTTTTTTTTAACTCTGTCATGCTAATTAAAACTAATAAAATCACATAATATTAAAGTCAGCCTTCATCCTGAAGGCCCCCCTAAAATATTTCAAGACAGTTTAACAATTGGTGTATTGAACATTCTGGAACACATAATACCGTATTTGAGATGAATCAGTTTTTGAACCAATTTTTTTAATATAATACTATATTTACACTTGTGTCAGAAACATGTTTTATTTTTTTCTCAAAGATAAGATACTGAAAGGGTTAATTACAAATAAAAACAGAACGGCGATTCAGTAATAATGATAGCTGATTTTTTTTTTATGTTAAAAATGCAGAACTGTGTTCACCTTATTGATACAAAGGCTCTATCTTTTATAATCCACAGTCTAAAAAGAAAGGACTTAGCTTGGAAGAAAAAAGAAGTCGTATGATGGAAATATTTTTTGAAACCGTAAGTAGGCACGATTTCACATTCTCATTTGAATGAGTTCATTAAGATTCTAAATGTTTGATTGTGTACATGTCTGACACAGTTCTCTAATGGTTCGCAAACTGTGGAAGATGATGTTAATTCATATGATTTTTCCCCCTTCCAGAAAGATGTGTTTCAGCTTAAAGATATAGAAAAAATCGCCCCCAAATCCAAAGGAATCAGTAAGTTTTATCAACCTGTAATATAATCTTTAGTTTATGTTCTTGGCATTGATAAGTCCATGTCACCGATAGAGGGAGCTCCAAGTGACCCTACATGTACGGTACTTAAAACGCATGTAATGGTAATCATCAGAAAACTGATCCTTACCTGTTTGATTTGGATTGAAAGCAGAGGATATCCACAGGAGGTGCCAATGTGATTAACCTAGTTGTAGAAATGCCCAGGACGGAAATTCAGGAAAAGTACTGCCTAAGAGATTTAGAAGTATATTGTTATGCTGATGAAATACATTTACATTGTCATTTAGCAGACGCCTTTATGTTAAGCGACTTAAAAATTAGGAATACAGCAAGCGATTCATCATGAAGAGGCAAACAATACAAGAAGTGCTCAAAATACAAAGTTTCAGACATTGCTTATAGTAGCACTAGCATAACCTAGACAAGGGAGGGATTAAAGTAAAAGGAAAGGATCATTTTTAAATTTTTTTTTTTTTTTTTTTAATTACGAGGTTAAGTGCTCAAAGAAGAGATGAGTTTTCAGCTGTCTTTTGAATGTTGTCAGGGATTCTGCGTTCCTGATGAAGGCAGGGAGATCATTCCCCTTAGCAAGGCACCGTGAATAAAAATGTTGTGGAGAGTGATTTTGTGCCTCTCAGTGATGGTCGCTCATTTACCGATCGTAGGCTTTATCCTATTTAAAGAACACTTTAAAGAAGTGTTTATCCTCTTGAAAGAAGTGATAATAATAAAAAATAAACTGGTATAACTTTACAAAAAAATAAAATAAAATGTCTGTTAATCACCACAAACACATACCAGAGCCTCTTTAAAGCAAACATCCACGGTTAGCAAAAAATAAAAAAAGTAATGCCGCGGGACATTGCAAATGAGACAGGCCGTTTTTTAATTGATGTCAATGGATTTTTTGCAAACAGTAAAACATAGAAATTAGTAGACTGCTGCAGTGATGGCACATTTAGGACGACCTGGAAGTTTTTTTCATTGGCTTATGGGTTATTATTATTATAGCTCGTCTGTATCCAACAAAAGTTTATAATTCTTACAAAACACGTTTTGTTCATCATGATAATATTCACAAATGAACTCTACGTTTATGAATTTTGAAGCCTAAATTATTATTATAGCTCGTCTGTATCCAACAAAAGTTTATAATTCTTACAAAACACGTTTTGTTCATCATGATAATATTCACAAATGAACTCTACGTTTATGAATTTTGAAGCCTAAATACTTCTGTGATTTAGGCTATCACAGAAGTAAAAAAAACTACACCACTGTCACTTGACTTCAGTGTCACCACCTTGAAGCTTCTGACAACTCTTTTAGTCTTTATTTTAAAAAGTGAGTCAAAATAGTTTGAATGAGTGTGAGTATAAACAGAGTGATGCTGTAAAACTGAACTAGTGAGTAAATGAGTTTAGCTATTCGGCGTGATGACGTTTAATGTCCCAGGGAATCTTTGTAGTCCCATTTATCCACTTTTCAAAACAAGTAAAAGCTTAAAGTGCCCCTTTAATGCGTTTTTAAAGGCTCCTGGTTTTGTTTTAGAGGTCTCCTAACAGGTTTACATGCATCAAAGGTCAAAAAACAGTTTTAGCTCCGGAGGCTTCAACCTCAGCGATTGTAAACACTGTAAAAACTGTATCGATAATGTCGATTTTAATCTCAGTGCGAGTCTGATGATGAAACATTGGAAGAACTAGTTATTTAACCCGAACCTCCATCGCTAAGGACGACTTGAGCTGGACGTTTCTGAGTGATAGGCTACTCAGTTTGAGCTACATTATTACAATGAAACCTGAAATGGTGAAATGCAAGAAATTATACAGCTTTATTGTATTATTTAACAGTTATATGATGCAAAGCCTCATCCATGTTAGCCTTATTATCTTGGTGTCAAATGCCATGATGTAGAAAACATGACAGAAAACCAAATGCTTATGTTTGCAAGGCTTAAAAAGTATTGTACAAGATCAGTTAAATTATCTCAAACTTTAAGTGGCAATGCAGCACTGGCCTGAAAGGACAAGTGACAGTTCTCTCTTACATTGAGCGGTTCATGGGCAGAATTGTTACTGGAGAATTTGTTTAATCTTTTTCTTTAGCTCCTATGTCAGTGAAAGACGTGTTGCAGAGTCTGGTGGATGATAACATGGTGGACACCGAGAGGGTGGGCACCTCCAACTATTACTGGGCGTTCCCCAGTAAAGCCTTGCATGCACGTAAACACAGATTAGAGGAACTGGAGAGACAAGTAAGGGCATCTCTTTCTGAAATCTCACTCTCATTAATCTGCACTGCTGCTTTACTGCTAACATGTACACTGGAAAAACATACTTCAATTTATAGTAGAATTCATAGTAAAATTTACTATAAAAAGGCAGCTGTGGTTGCTGCTTTTTTTTACTTTAAAAATGGCATATTGATGCCGCATACCAATATACCAATAAATCCAAAATAAATGCAAAGAAACGGTTTGTAATATTAACTTATCCTATTTATTTATGAAATAATAAATAATCTCTGTCAGGACAAATCATAAAGTGCTTAGAACTATTTAATATTTAAAAGTCTGTCACTGAGTGACTGATTTGAAAAGTTATAAAATGAGCACCAATGTAACACATTACATAGAAAATGTAGCAGGACTATTATTTTGCATTTACACTCTAACGCCCGTTTCACACATACTCCGTTTGCAGTGCGTATGCGGTGCGTATTTTTTTCCGTACCCATGTTAACAGGTTAGAGCTTTCACACTGCACGCGGATGCGGTCCGTCGATCCGTTCCAGTTGCGGTGCGTATACAGCAGAGCAGAGATCGTTTACACACCGAGTCTATCTCTGCTGTGCTGCAAACGCTGAATTAAAGTGACAGCGCACGGTTCGTGGTCAAAATGAACACAGATTGACCTGAAAATGTAGTAATTTCACCATAAATGCATTTAATTCAATGAAATGTTGTAATCTCACCATAAATGTATTTAATTAATTACCTCAACAAGGACATAATGAACGACCCTCGTCTCATTCGTGGAGGTGAAAAAACAAGTTATTTGTGACATGCAAGATTTATTGTATTAAAATTTAAATGCAAAAGAAAAGGCATGAAAGTCGGCTGTTTTTGTCAATTTTAAGTTTTAATTTAAAATGTTTGCGATTTTAATATAAGTACATGGTTAAATATTTGACCACTTGCTTAAGCAACTTAATATATATAGAAGTAATGCATGGAATTATAGGCCTATGTTGTTTAAATTGTGTTTAAACGTGCATTCAACGTCCATTCAAGTTTGTATATGTGTACAAAGTAGGGGTGTAACGGTACATGTATTCGTATTGAACCGTTTCGGTTCGAGGCTTCGGGTTCGGTACGCATACAAACCGAACGATTCCTTGGACCATTTTTCCTGCCGACAAAATTCGCGCTGGCGCGATCACCACAACGTTGCGCAACATCAAATGGCAAACGTAATGAAAGCGGAACGAAACTGCGCTATTGTGCTTCACGGATCGTTTATCAGTTCGGAGCAGCAACATCTGTGCAGCGGGAGCCGATCTCGATCAAGCGACACTGTTACAACCGTTACAACACAGCGCTAAGAGAAACATTTGAATTCGCCACTGAAGTAATAACATCGCTGCGAGATCTAGTGAGAAGCATTCACATTTCTCCGTTATTAACCGTAGATCTCTATTAGTTCAAACAGCGCTGACGTGGACACCAGGAGAAATATTGTGCCGTGAATGAACTAGTAATACTTTACGTCCACATCCAGCAACATCCACCATGGATTTAATATAGTAACAACACTAACTGTAACCAGTTTGGCTGGAATAGTGAAATGCTTTCAAGTACTTCACACATCTTTTTCCAGCACTTCAAAACTCAAATATTATATAAATAAATAGCCTATATGAAGATTTCAGATGCAAAAGCCTCTATAAGTGCCATTTGAAATTTTCTTCTAGAATGATCATTTTTATGAAGCTTGTATATTTAAGTTCAGTAATTTTACTCAAATGACAATTAATAGGCAATACAATCTTCATTGCCATTTAAGTGAAATTACTGAACTTAAATATACAAGCTTGATAAAAATGATCATTCTAGAAGAAAATTTCAAATGGCTTTTGCATCTAAACTCTTCATATATTTAAATGTTATTTTTAATGTGATGACCAAAACATTATTTGTTCATCCTTCAAAGATGACCCCCATTTATAAACCTGAAAGTTTCAAGATGAAGGAAAACTCACACTTATTTAAAAAATATTTTTTCTTTTAACAAATAGGAAATTTCTCTGGCATTTCTTACTTTTTGCTGTATCGAAAATGTACCGAACCGTGACTTTAAAACCGAGGTACGTACCGAACCGTGATTTTTGTGTACCGTTACACCCCTAGTACAAAGAGAATCGCAATGCTGACAAAACTTTTTTTTTGAAATAAAAGTTGCTGCATAACTTCTGGATTTGAAATAAAAATAGTGAGTATGTGTTTGTGGTACAGCCGCGGATCAGTTACGCACTGCAAACGCAGCATATGTGAAAGCACTATAGCGCGTGCTGCTCCTGTACCGCAGACGCACCGCATACACACGGAGTATGTGTGAAACGGCCGTAAGACTTAATGCACAGATCATTTGGCATACAGTATCAGGTTCTTTTGTTCCATCCAGTGCTATGGTTATCACTTTCAATCGAATTCATTGCACATTTAAATACGGTTTTTAATCCAAAACGTACCAATTTGTAGTTGGCAGAATGAAAAATATATTATATACAGAAAGCGAGCAAAGATCATCATTATAATCACTGAAGCTGTCCATTCAGCTCAACGCGAGGGTCACAAAACTGCACTTCTGCGAATACTCCCAATATTATATATGAAGCTGTCTATGCTGCACAATGAATCTCTTATTGACATCATGTTTATACTTTGTTGGTTATAATGAAAGGATTTGTAAGCATGCAGAACTCGGAATGCTCAACAAAATCTATGCCGTTCTGTGCAGTGTTGAAAGGAATCTGACTAACGACAGTGTCGACTCAGCATGTCGCATGGCATGATATGCGTGAGTAACTGGAGCATTCCCTTTCGATACGGTTCACACGCCGTCCACCTTTATCAGGTTCTACAGCCTGGACGTACCGGCCCTTCTTGCAAAATGTACTGGATCAGTTGGTTTAACAAACTATGAAATGAACTCTAATGTGGGTAGAAGTTGCATCTTTTTATTTTCAATAATCACTGGGATCAGATCATATATACTCAATGCTGAATAAGACATTCCAGAATCATAACCAAGTTTTTATTATCAAATAAAGATCCATCGCTATGCTCATCTTGTTATATTTAAAAAAATATATAAGACCACCACCCAATGTAAGGTTTGTGCCACAGCTTTCCTGAACTAACAGTATTGGTGATTACCAAAATATTCTTTTGAATGTTTCTGTAATGGTTAATCCACTAGTATGTTTAAGCTCTTTAATCACAGTTGGCAAAGTCATAGTCTGGACTTGAATCCTATTTAACAAATTTGGGATTTAGTGGATTCAAAGATAGATCGTACAAAAGTTTCATCAAAAGCAAGTCTTTGGGAACAACTAGAAACTATTTGGAAGTCAATAATAACAGTGGAAAACTGGAAAAGTAATGTATATAAAAACAATGCCAGCAAGAATGCAAGCTGTTATCAAGGCCAAAGGATGGCGTACAAAATATTATAAGTTAAAGTTTTTTGGTTATTATGTGTGAATAAAGACTATGTAGTTGTTTCAGTTTGTTATTTGCCTAATAAATGACAAAAAAAAACATTTTTTAACATTACGTTTTTGACAGATTCCTAAAATATTTGTTTTCTCTTTATTATGACAGGTGGTCTAATAAATTTGCTAAGCACTTTATATATTAGGGCTGTCACTTTACGTTCGAAAATCGATTGCACAATCGATCGGACCAACCAACACAAGTATCGAAAACGAAAATAGGGAATCGATTTTAACGGCCTTCTCTCGGAGCGCGTCCAGCTCGTCACGACACGCCCGCAGCGAACGCGCGTCACACAGCAACTGCAGGCTCTGACAAACACACATACAAACTATACTATACTTCTGCATAATGTGTCTCTTTTTACAACAAAAATGTGAATTCTATGTGTATTCAGACACAGTCTCATGCATACAGATACAGATTCGGCCTACAATCGCCTACGTAGGCGAAATTTGTTTGACATTTCTAATCGTAAACACAGCCATGTTGAAGCCTGCAGTAATCTTTTTCATTGATGTTATGGCAGTCCACTCTGCTTATTGTTTTTCGAGAATATTGCACTCCTGTTTGTCATTGTGCAAGAAACTTCATACCAATAAATCATCAGAAATATTGCTGACTTGTGCGCGTCTCAAGCGCACTCTTTACGTTCGTTCTAATGCCTGTTAGTTGTCCGTGGATTTGCCTGTATTTGGCGCTGAAAATGTAAACGTCTTTAGACATGGAAAATCGATTTTACAATCGATTCAATGAACATTTATGTCTCAAAAATCGATCAGGATTTTTTCACAAAAGTGACAGCCCTATTATATATATATATATATATCTGTATATATATATATAGCCAAGGAAGCTTGACATGGCGTTAAAACACCAACCAACCAACAACAGAAAGCCACGTGATGAATCAGAGTTCAATTAATTGGCCTGTCTATAAAACATGGTCAATACTTATTTATAGACAGTATATAGGGTCAAAAGTTCACACATGAAAAAACCCCCACATGAAACCAAAATAATACAATGAAAATGAACTAAACAGAACATGCAACACAAAACAACCTTATGTACATTATGGATAACAAAAATAAGCAGATAAGTAATGTCCTTTTACTGTTCACTGTAAATTATATGGTAATTCATATTTTTATATGCCATAAATATGACCATGTTTAACAGTAAAATTACATATAATGTGATGTTATACCATTTATAATTTTTCACCATATTAAGGCAACTTAATTTAACCAATTAACAGGTTTTTAATGCACCATATTTCTTTAGAATTCTGTAAAAATTACACACATTTTTTTACAGTGTATGCTTTAATATTATGCCATTGATGTAGATCTTGGTTAATTCATTGTGTTCTGAGATAGAGATTTTTTGCAGAAGTGCAATGTATTAATTTCTTTTTTTTTGTCTGAGTAGCATGAAGATGGAAATCAGCGTAAAAAAGCCCTTCAGCAAGCAGTTGACAAAGCCAAAGTGGGACGTGAAGTTAATGTGCGTTCACCTCTCTGTCTCTTTAGGCTAGATTACTACACTGTGTAATGTTTGTGGGCTGTTTCTGACTACTGTTTTTGTGTGCGTTTAGGATGAGAGAGAGGATCTCCAGAAAGAACTCGTGGCATTGAAAAATCAGAGAGATCATCTGAAGGTTGAACTGGAAAAGTATAAAGAATGTGATCCAGAGGTGGTGGAGGAGATCCGTGAGTAATATTTATAAATATTAAGCATGGATGAAACTCTCAGAAATCAGCAGTTTTGTCAATAACATTTTTGTTAATTAAAATAAATCTGAAATAAAATATAAATAATTAGATTATTAGAAAATTAGAAATGTTGTCTTGGCAACTAACTGAAATAAGTTTGAGTACTAAAATTACTAACTGGAATAAAACTAAAAATGAAATACAAAATAAATTAATACTATTTAGAAAAAATAATAATTATAAAAATGACAGAAATGAAAGTAAAATTAAAACAAAAACGGAAAGTATAACAAATAAAAGGTAATTTAAAATATTCAACAAACCATATTATGGATGTGTCGTCAGATTTAAGATGAACCGCGGTGCAAGTGCGTACCGAACCATGGGTGAAGAACGGTACGCTTTGATTTTTTATCGAGAACCATTACACCCCTAATATATACGACGATTAGCCATTACATTATGGCCACCTACCTAAGTACCTGTAAGAACCACCTTTAGCCCGCAAAACAGCGGCCATGCAGCGAGGCATTGATTCAACGAGGTGGCGATTGGTCTCCTGTGGTATCTGGTACCATAATGTCAACAGCAGGTCCTCCAGTTCCTGTACATTGCACAAACCCGCTTTTCCAAGTCGAACCACAAATGTTCGATTGGGTTCATGTTAGGTGAATTTTGGGCATGATTGCTAGACGTATACCAGCGTCACATGCAACGTCACATGCAACGCGAGTCCAGCGGATATAAAGGTATAAGGACATTTCATTCTACCGAACTACACGCAAGTGCTGAATTAATACTCACACAGGTCAGTTTATTAGACGAATTAAACTTGAGGTAACGCAGCGCTGTTTCACTTGCTTTAACAGTTACACTACCACACTAAACGGCATTTGAGTGTGTTGTAGTGTTGTCACGATACTAGAATTTCTAACTTCGATACGATACCTTGAAAAATATCGATATTCGATACCATTTTCGATACCACGGAGAAAAAACTGCCACAATATTAAGGGGGTATTTTTTTAATTTAAAGCTAAATATAACAAGTCTAGAACATGACAATGAGGTATATTTTACATGAAGAAAAATGTCCTGAGTTCTATTTGTTTATATTTTTTAATTGGACCAGAGCTAACATGATGTCATTTTATTACCTACTGTTATCAAAGATTAAAATATACTGTAACAAAAAAGCACTTAACAGTATCAAATTGGAGGATAGAGAGTCAGTAATGTATAATAATAAGATTAAACATTCAATTTTCAGTTAAAGGCATGTCATTATTGAATTCAGAGATGCCATTGTCTAGCTGTTTAGTTTAATTAATATCTGTGTAATCAAATTGATGATAATCGCTAATGAAGGAAAATTGCTGAATTAAATAATAATTTTTAATAATAATTCTTGTGTCCGCGCTATTCTCCGACATGCCCGCTCGCGTCCGCACTATTCTCCGACATGCCCGCTCGCGGTGTGTAGCGCGTGTCCACGCTATTCTCCGACTCCGACATGCCCGCTCACGGTGTGTTTTTTACGCGTGTCCGCGCTATTCTCCGACATGCCCGCTCGTGGTGTTCTTTATCAATCAACCAAAGCCGGTCGCGGGGGCGCCGCCCTCGCCATCTTTCCATTCACTTCACTTTTGCTATTTAACCAGAGCGAATGGGAGACGAGTGCGTCACGTGTGGTGTTTGTCAACGCGCCTTTTGAGAGAAGTGAAAGGACTAGTATCGATACTTCGGGAAATTAGTATTGGTACCGTTCAGATATTTCAGTATCGATATGTATCGAAATATCGATATTTTTGACAACACTAGTGTGTTGAATGTTGTTAGTTAGGTTGTTAGGCTGTATGAGACTAAGTAAGCTAGATTAACATTATAATATGCTTCATACCACAGTCATGTTAAAAACATTAATGTATTCTATTCACTCATCCATAAAAGATCCATCAGCTTGAAGACAAGATCCATAATTCAGCTTAATGTGGAATATACATCATCAATATACGCATTTGTTATTGTAAGAGGTTAGCGACCTCTGGTGGCGAAAAATCCTGCATATTGTACCTTTAACATTACTTAATGCGTTATCTAACATCAACACATTGAGTGAACAATATATTTTTACAACATTAATTAATGTTTGTGAATGTTATTTAATAGAAAGACTTGATTGTTCATGTTTGTTCACTTTATTCATTGTGCATTTAATAATGTTAACAGATAAAACTTTTTATTTTAAAAATGTATTAGTAAATTTTTTAATTAACCCCCAAGGAGAATAATTACTACAGTATATAACTATTGTTTATTGTTGGGTCATTTTATCTAATGTTATCTATTGTAAAGTGTTTTTAATACTACAGTTTCCATCTTTGTAACCGTGATATACACTTTAATATATGTAAATTAAATTAATTAAATTAAATTTAAAGTAAAATAAATTAAATTAAGCTTTGATACCGAAATTGGTTAGCCTGGTTCTACCAGACTCTCATACATTTCATTTGTACAGAGAGTCTGGCACCACTCCATTGACAATCGTTAACTTCCTTGTAGGCGGGTACTCTATTGAAGTCTAAAACTATTGGATCTGCCCAGAGTCACTCTGGATCTGCCACCAATCGCTAACGTTTTCTCGTGATGTATGTCGAATCCCGTGGGGAGGAGGGCCACAACATCATGGCCAAAACAAAACTAAGCAAAGATTGTTCATGCTCCGGCTTTAACTTCTTAATATTCGGCAGCGTTGCTACAACGGACCGAATGGCTTCGCTCGCATCTTTCTCCGCTGCCATTGATTACTGAACTACTCAATAACGCACGACGTCATCGTTCTCAGCCACTCCCTCTGTTCGCTGATTGGCCCTACAAAAAATTGATCGGAGAAAACCAAAGTCTACAGCAGAATCCCAAACGTAGTACTGAAGGAAAATGAAATTGAGCGGAAGTGCGTAGGAGGGCGCAGCCAGGCTAGAAATTGGTACCGAGAACCATGGATTTTCATTGGTATCGAATACTGAAATCTTGGTACCGTGACAACACTACTATGGGGATAGAATTTTTGCATCATTCCAAATAAATAGATTGAGATTCACAAAAATGTATCAAATTCACAAATAATAGATTAAGATCCACACACAAATGTAAAGTGAAGTGTTTCAAAATCCACAGATGCGTGTGGGGATTTACAAATGCACAAGAAGAGATTGACAGATATGTGCAGCGATTTACAAATGCACAGGAAGCGATTCACAAATAAATGCCAGGCAGAGTTGTGTTTGTGACTAAAAACGCATGGAAAGCGTGGCCACACCACTTTCTCCATCTTTCCACAAGCGCTTGCGCTCCCGTGGCGTCTGTCGTTGCTGTGCAACCATGAACAAAGGCGCGCCTGGACAAACGAGCGCGCTTACATTTGAAATAACGAATTTGCACGTGCAAAAAAAAACAATATGTGAACGACCCCTTATGGCAACGTGACATTAGCCTAACCTCTCGTCAGTTGAGCAGGTAGTCGGAGGAGGAGTAATGTCAGCCGTTTGGAGATATTTTAAGATAAGCGATGATGATAAAAGTAGAGCAGACTGCAAACTATGCTCTGCCAAATTGTCAAGAGGAGGGGTGAGAAATAGCTCCTTTAACACAAGCAATTTGATTATACACGTTGTCTATTTACTTTGTTAGTCAGAAAGTGAAAAATAAACATTGTTAGAAGAACTGTAATGGTATTATTAAAGGTGCCGTATGTAATTCTCTGCAGATTTCTTTTTTGTTATGCTGGTTGAAAGTCTCCTCATATCCTGATAGCAATTACTCTGTTAAGCGGTCTAAATGTATTTTTTATAAATATATGTCGTCTGTGGAAGGCTTGGAGGACCATAGAATGTTCGTTCAATCGTATTGTTCGGTCCAAACATATGTGTTTGCATACCACTGCGCAGGCTGTTCATGCAGACATAAGTCATGAGCACGTGCACGTACACTGTGCAGACAGAGCGAGAATGGCAGGCAAGCAGCAACAACAAGCAGACTCTCATCGTGGAACCCCTGGCATGCAAGAAATATTAATATACACTGATAAGTTTTGCTAGCTAAACAAACCGAAAACTTGCTGTATCTAATTCCGTTTTGAAGAATTTGTTTACGTTTGGTATTGTAGTACTGTTACTAACTGTACTATAAAGTTTTCTCACCAGTGAATGACACATGATTAATTGCAGTAACGTTGTCTCCGGTCTTCTTTTCTGTGCGCGTTCATGCTTTCAGGAGGCGTGGCTTTGGACGCCGATTTGCAGGGAGGGTGGGACGTACGCTTTTAGTGCTATCAGGCTAAAGTTAGCATTTTCCCAGGTGTCCTACTGCACCTTTAAGTACTCGTATCGGTACTTGGTATTGGCAAGTACCCAAATGTAAGTACTTGTACTTGGTCTGAAAAAAAGTGGTATCGTGCATCCCTATCATATGCAGTCCTTACAAATGACAAGAAGAGTCTAGAAAAAAGGGGGTCAATGTGTATAAGCCCTGAGGCTTGTCTTAAACTCTGCACTCTGCCTTGTCTTAAAAGAGGAAGTTTTGATATTTCTTAATGTTATCAATCTTAAATTGATTTCACAATTAAATCCCCATGACACTCAAAATTTCTTAAAAACATCAGCACAGACTGCTTTGTCCTCCTATAAGCATGATCTGTGTTTGTCTACATTCTCTCATTGAGTTGCTGTGCAAAGAGCCCAGTAGAATGTCACTGCTACATTTAGTGTGTCCATTGTAAAGATCCTCTGTTGTAGCTGATTGCATTTTTTCTACTGTGACTTTTTGTAAAGCATTCATCTGCTGTATTCTGACTAAACACTTAGGAGCATGTAGCACAATAAAAAATCAGCTACAGACTGTCTGCAGAATTCTGCATAATAACGGGAACATTGCTTACAACAAGTCTAAAATCTAACAGTGAATGTCTTGCAATTTACTGTTGAAGCAAATTTGTA